TTTTAAAAAAAAAAAAAAAAAAAAAAAAAAAAAAAAAAAAAAAAAAAAAAAAAAAAAAAGATAATTTCCATGAACTTTTTGAAGACCCCCGATACAGTTAACAATTTTGTATTGTGCACTTTAAAATATGTTAAGAGGGTAGATCTCACGTTATGTTTTCTTATACACACACACACCCACCCCAAGCTCAGGGAAATTTGAGCTTGCCGGGAAGTATGCACATGGGTGAGATACACACCTAACATAGTGTTAATGGAGCCCATCAGCTGCTCCACATCAGAGAAGTCCAAGGTCTGGTCTTCAAAGTCAGGCTGTGCAGAGATTTCCACATCCGTTTTTGTTTTCAGGAATTTCCCGAGTCTGTTAGTAAAAAAAAGACAAGCTAGCAAGAATGGAGGGGCATTCCCCTTAGGGTATATCTGTGCTGGGTCCCTAGTAATAAATGAAGAGGGACTCTTTGCTGAACTTTCATTTCTTTAGTTTAACATGCTGCTGGCTGCCTCCTATCATATGCTTCATCGAGTGACCTAGGTCACCAGTGGGGATGGGTGGGCTTAGTTTTGGCCTTTGATGGGGAGGCAAAGTCATGTCAGAGGGCTGGTGGTGGACATTCACCATCAAGACCCAGATCCACACCCTCTGGAAGATCTCTTAGGTGCTAACCTGGAAGCTCCCTCCCCAAGCCCCAAGATGTGCGGGGGGTTCAAACTCTCTGAGCTTCTTCTCCACAAGACCAAGTGCCCTCAAATTGCTGATTGTGGAGTTTTGGGTCTTCCTGCACCTGTTTCCTGGCAGTCACAGCGTTTGTAAATGGCAGAGGCAGAACTTAAAGCCAGGTCTGTCTTTGCCAAAATCCATGCACTTAACCCTTACAATATTATTATTTTTTATTTCACCAACAAAGTGAAGGAAAACCCTTACATTATTAAGCTTCTATGTTTATGTTGCTTTATAAACATTGTCTTATTTTATTCTCACAAAACTATCTTTCTTCGTATAAAAGGAGGGTCATAGACTGGTTGGACATGCCCAAGGTCATGGAGGTAGCAGGATTTGAATTCCTGTGTCTGACTGTAAAACATACATGTTTTCTGCAGCCACACAGTCTGAGTCCTGGCACAGCTGGGGGATGTTGCAGGTGCACTCCAGATCTCGGTTCCTTCTGCTAAAATGAAGGGCTTGTGGGGAAGATCTGACTACAGGCTTGTTGGCTGGGCCTCACCATCTCCTCCCTTACAGCCTTGAGATTCTGAGATTCTCAATACTAGAGAGTCCTTGTGACCCCACACCCTCATTTCAAAGCCAGTGTTATTTTACTCTTAGGATCGGACACAGAAACTGCAACTGGAAGCATATGGAATTGGAAACATGTGGAACTGAGTCTATTTGTATATATAGAGGTGAAAGAAACAGAAAAAATATATGTCAGAACAAAAATATTACCTGTCAGCCATAGCCACTGCATCCTGAAAAAGAAAAGGAGAAAATAGTAAATTGGTTTTGGAAATACATTTCTTTTTCAGACTATATAATAATATAAACATATTTTAAAAACTTGGAAATTAGGAAAAAGAAAAAAACATCAGCCATATCCCACACCCTAGCAAAATTACCCTGTGCCTGTGCATTGTTTCCCCATACTCCTGCTTTTTCCCATTAACATTATGCCATGTTATGAATGGCCTTTCAGACTATCGATTTGAAAGCTTGTATCACTCATTGAATGGAAATTCCATCATTTACTTAACAGTTCTTCCATTGTTGGATATTTTGGTTGTTTCCAATTTTTCACCATCATCAATAATGGTGAAAAGAACACCTTCATGTTTCTCACTTTTTCTACATTCTGGATTATGTCTTTGAGGTACAGTGGCACCGTGCGACCCTTGGGTCAAGAGCATCGACGCCTCTCATGGTGCCTGCCTAATCGCTCCCCAGCTTCATTCACGAGTGCCTCGCCCCTAGCACAGCAGGAAAGAGGCGTTGCTGGGCTCGCAGGGTGACTGTGGACTTGGACAAGGTGGGCGACATACTTGGCAACCAGCGAGCTCTGAAAGCCCCTCCCCCACGTCCTGCACACCACATGTGCCCTGAATTCCTGCAAGACCTTGGGAAGAAAGGGGACCCCAGCTCTGACTGAGATTGGAATTCCCACAGCCCAGCTGCACGGGGGCTTGGGCCAGATTTAATTTGATTTCAAGAAAATTAAGAAATGGACTTTTTTGTATGTCTGAGTTTATGAAGTATGATTTATAATTGCTACACTTGTAACCGGGAAATTTAAGGTGAATTTAGCCTTGACAACTTTCTCCTCAGAGCTCCAAGAGGCCATCTGAGGTGGCCAGAAAACTCTCAGGGCATTGTTTTTGCTTAGCCCCAGGATGAGGGGACAGATCTCTGGGTAACCAGGACAGAGGAACAAAGACTGGTGCTGCCTCAGCCATGGTGGACGGGAAGGGTCAGCTGTGGATGAGTCTGTTTGGCCACTTGTGGTGATGCTATGCAGAGAGATGGGGCAACAGCCACCCCATCATGAAAATCCAGTGGTTTCAAATGGATGCTGAGCATAAAAGCAGATTTTGACACCTCCAGAAGGAGAGAGGACAACCTCAAATACCCTAGCCATAACTGTCATTTCGGTTCATGATTTCATTGCATTTTCTTACTGACCTTTATGAAGTCAACCTTCTCTTCATGACACACCTCCTCTATTGTTTCCATCAGTTCTTTACAGGTATCAAGGTTTTCTCCACAGCTGACCAGTTGTTCATATAAGGCTTCCAGCTTCTCTTTCTTTTTCTCCCCCAGAGTTTGTATTTTTTCTTCATATTTTTGAGCAAGTGTTTCCAAGATCTCATTGTAATGTGACTCAAAGTTTTGTTCTTGTCTTCCAAAATTCTCCTGCAAGACAGTTGACCTCAGACATCATTTTGGTGCACGTGACTTGTCTATTAGATTCATTGGGGGCATGAAAATGTATCTACCCAGAGCTGTTTTAATCCCTCTGCTTTGTCTTATCTCCTTCCAGGAAGTTGGGGTGAAAGGTGGGGGAGCTAGGACACAGGAGTCTCCACCCCAGAACCCCAAGAATATTCTTAACAAAAAGCACGGCTTTCTCTCCAGTGCTATTTTGCGATCCTCCCCGTTTTAGCTACCTCCTATCATCATGACAACTGGCCAGCAAGATTATCAGAGTCAGCCTGCTACTGGAACCTTCGACCCTGGGAGATTTCCACCTGTTATTCCTTTCTGAGCTCTCAACCTCTCGTGATGCTCATCTTCACTCCCTGATGCTTGGCTCATACAAACACCAGTATTACATCAACGAGGATCATAGCAACTAGAGGAAAGATGAAGGCAACGGGGAACAATGATGTGGCTCGGTGGCACTGCCTAATAAATGAGAAAATGCAGGAAGGCAGAGTGAGGGTCCTGACAGTACTTAATCCAGGAGCACAATGGGTAAGAAATATTAAGTAGAGCATATCAACTCCTGGGCCCCATGACTTATATTGAAAGCAAAGGGGAGCTCTGTGGGTTCTGACTGATGTCATCCTCATGAGGGGATAGGGACATTTCCAAAGAAGAGACTCTTGTCAATCATTCAGGGAGTAACTGCTGAGCACCTGCTATGTGCACAGGACCTGCTCAGAATGTGGAAGAGAAAGAAAAGCAATAGATGATTCTCCGGTGTTGAATATAAAAGGATGGCCTCAGAGTCCTCACTGAGGATGGAGATATTTTGATCTGAGGGTAAGCTGGCAGAACAGTGGAAGGAGTTTTATCCTGGCTGTTGTACACTTACCCCTCCACCCCCCACCCGATGCTTGGCAGTAGAGGGGCTTGCATCTTCTCTGTGCCTTCTACAGGGATTAGTGCAATAGCTCTCCTTCCTTTTAAGACTGGAAGGAGATTTAAAAGAGTTCTAGCTTCAGAAGAAAATGACTTGGGACTTAGTTAACTCATACGAGATGCTCCTGTTGATACAGTCTGAGCCTGCATTAATAGAAGTAGAGCAACCACATAAAGACAAGGGAGAGGAAAAGTCCTGCAGTCCTCGGTCCTGGCCTATGTCATCTGGAAGGTTGGGTTGCGCTCTGGAATCACAGTGGTATACCACGTACCTACTTGGGAACATCCTGGGGACTGTGACATGTTTGGTGACAGGCATAGAAAATTTATTTTATGAGAAATAGATAACAACCGAGGAAAAGAACACTTATTAAAGACAGGATGGGTGTCTTGCAACGCCTTATCAAGGCTGGCCCATGAAAGAGGGACTGACCTTGTTCTGTGTAGTTCCAGGGGCCAAAGTGACCAATGCACAGAAGCTACAGAGCAGCAGCTCAGTAGTCTCGGCCTCTGGATCAAGAGCCCACATTCTTCCCCATGCAGGACTGGGATGGAGAGGGGCCTTCAAAGGATGGGAAGTCCCTCCTGACCCCGGAATTCTAAATTCTTACTGATCTCTCAGCAAAGTCTGTACATTACTAACTAAGCAAAGACAATACATAAACTTATTTCTTTAATCCATGCACAGCTAAAAGTATGCCTGCGTTTCAGTGGCAATAACTGGCAGAAGTGGTTATGTTGCCTCTTAAAACAACCAAAGACTGACAGTGCACACTTTATGTAGTCAACATTATAGATACCTCCAAAGGCATAGAATTAACAACCTCAAATAACAAGAAAACAACATGGAACCCCATGTCTCTGGTTACACACACAGCCACTAGCACCAAATAACACCCAAGGGGTTCTCAGTGAGTGAGACAACAAAAAAAGAACAACAACAACAAAAAAGAAATAGGACCAAAACAAGTAAACAAATGAAAAACCAAGGGAAAAAGAAAGCTGTTCACCTCTTCACCACCTGAGCTCAAGTGAGGGGCTTCGACTGGATGATGCCACCATTAAGTCATCTTTGTTAGATTAGGGTCTAAACCAGGTACAATTGGTGATTCGGGTAAAGGGGGCATGAAGAGAAAGAGCAGCCCGTGAAGAAGCACTGTGATTAGAAAATTTCTGCCTTATATATTCATTCAACAAACATTTATAAAATTCTTGCTCTGAAACATACCATGTAGTAGGACTGGGGATATAAAGATGCAGAAGACCCAGCCTAACCACTGAGAGCTTATAGCTCAGTAGGGAATGCTGACAGGTAATTGGTTTCATGAGGTACATGCTCAGGTGCACCGGGAGGTCAGAGGAAGGGGTGAGGGGAGAGGGGCAGTAGTGACACCTCACACTCTAATTCTAACTCATACCAGAAGCAGCTGTGTGACCCAGTCACTGATGGAAGCAAATGTGTCTGATGGGGTTGTCAAGCATGCTCTTACCTCCACAGTGATGAAGACCTCCTCCAAGTGACTTGCAAAATTTTCCATCTCGATAATCTGCTTTTCTAATTTGTACATGTTTTTGTGAATTTCCTCCTATGCAACAGAGGATCACAAAGAAGGTGTTAATGCTACATCTTTTCTCTCTCTTTCATGAAGGCACTTTAGATTTATTCCCAGCCTACATGCATGAGATGCAAATGCAATATCAAGACAAAGGAGACTTATTTACCTTGGCATTTTCCAGTGCTTTATTGAGTGGGATCACTTCATGCTCTTTGTGTTCCTCAAAATCCTTCTCAATAGCTCTTACTGGAATTTTGCAAGTGACACAGAAGACGTCAACAGCTTCTTCCTCGTCCTCCTCTTCTGGGATGACGTAGCATTCATACTCCTCGCTGGAGCGGCCGTGTGTGTACCTATAGGCTTCCCGCAAGTCCTGGCACTGGCCCACCGGACCCCACTCCCCGTAGCCCATGTCCTCAGCCTCCACTGCCTCTCCACCAAATCTCCAATCTCTCTGCTCCCTGGCTTGGTCTCTCCTCTTCATCGCGTAAGGAGGATATTCCGAAACCCCTATTATGGGCATGTTGTCATCAACAAACTCATCCCCTAACTCGTGATCATCTTCAAGTCCATATAAATGCACAAGTTCATCCACTTCCTCTTGAAGGTCTCTTTGAGCTCTACCTTCTCCTGCCCCTCTTGGCTCACTGGTCATTTCAGGCTGGACTACTTCTCTCCTCATCCTAGTGTTTTCTTCTGGGAAGATCTGAAGTCTGTCTTCAGAGTCATACAGATCCATATGATAAAAGCGGAAGTCCTTGGGAGGAGCAGATCTGCCCAGCCTTGGTTCCTCCCCAGCTTCCTCCTCCATTGTAATTGTGGAAGCCCTGGGAAGCACTTTTGCATGAGAAAGAGCCTTCCTGGATAGTTAATAATAAATATTCTGGGCCCTGGAACACAAAAAGAGGAGGGAAAACCATCAGTTCCTGAGAAGGTCATTGCAGTGGATGGTCATGAGATGGGACTCTACTAGGCACAATTTATGAACTGTGGTTTCACTTGAACCATCTGTAAAGAAATGTTGAAAGAGACAGAAGAAATTACCAAAGGAATGTCAATAGATTTGACTAACAAAAGACTCCTATAAGTTAAAAAAAAAAAACTTAGAAGGCAAAAAAAGTGGGAAGAGTCTCAGGTAATTATAATTTTTAAAATTATCTATACTCATTAAAAAATTAAGGTCTCAGTAGATGAATGTGAAGGACAATTCACAAATCACTTTTGTATATGATATTACTTGTACAAAAAAGCATTTGGAAAACTGTCTATACTTACCAGCAACAGAGAACAAACAAATAAGATGCCATTTTGCCTTTTCAGTTAGCAAATACGAAAAAATATAAAAATGATACCCAAGGCTGGTGTCAGCTCTCATGTGCTGCTGATTGGAATGTAAACTGGCCACACCCTCTGGAGAGCAAATTTGGCAACCTGGGTCAGGAGCCTTAAAATTTTTATGCACTCTTTGACTTAGTAATCTACCTCTCGAGCCCGGAGGAAAAGTCCCAAACACAGGGGAAAAGTTTCTATCTACATGAAAATGTCCACCACCAAAATTTTTGTAATAAAAAAATTTTTTTGAAAAGGCCTAACGATTAGAAGAATGGTTAAATAAAGTAGGATATGTACACTGTGTTGAATACAAAGCAGCCTTTTAAAATATGGAGAGCAAATATAACTTGGAAAAAGACACAATATGATGGTAAGTAAAATAAACAGAATGTTCATTATGTGCAGAATATGATGTCCACTAATTTAATGGAGGTACAAAAAATCTAGAAATAAGTAAAAATAATGATAGTAGTAGTAAATACAATATTAGTCGTAGCTCCTACTCATTGAGCACTGACTGTGTGCTCTTTCTGGGCTAGGCGGTCTACACATACACTTTATCTTATCCTTACATCAACCCTGTGTCGTAGGTATTGCTGTTATACCCATTTTACAGATGAGGAAACTGTCTCAGACAGGTTATCTCATGCAAGGTCACACAGGAAGTTGCTGAACTGGGACTTGAGTCTTCGTTCTGTGTAGCAGCCACAAGACTGTGCCTCACAGGTATCCAACTACAGGGAGCGTAATTGACCGGAGTGTTCAGTAGCGCTCTGAAATCCATTGCCACATTGTGTGCAGGACACACTTTCCACAGACATCTGCCCTCCAGGGACAAAGTGTAGCAGAGATACGAAAGGAGATCCATTTTGGGTTGACACAAAACTCCTCCGATGGCCAATTTTGGCTGGAGGACTCCATGACAGCCTTGCCAAGACTTTCTTAGACTGCATGACAGTCTAAACACTTCCCCCCAACCTTCCATCCCTCTCTGCCTCACTTAGGATCAGACATGCATCATAATCTGACAGCTCTCCCAGCCTTTCCTACCTTTCTCTCCAGTTTATATCAAACAAGTGCTTCTCCTAATAAAATTCTTGTACATTTAATCCCATTTTGTGCTAGCGACTGGATTAACACAGTCTGTTGGACTCCAAAGTCTTTGCTTTCTTTCTGGAACAGAACTGCCATTGTGTTATATTAATTATTTTTTGTAACAGTTTTATTAACATTAATTAATATATCTGTGAATTATAAACAATTCACCTTTGAACAATTTACTTGTTTAAAATGTATAGTTCAGGGCTGGCCAGTTAGCTCAGCTGCTTAGAGCGCTATGTTGATAACACCACGGTCAAGTGTTTAGATCCTCAAACCGGACAGCTGCCAAAAAAAAAGAGAAATAAAAAATAAAGCATATGATTCAATAGTTTTTAGTGTATTCACATACATATGCAATGATCACCACAGTCAATTTTAGAACATTTTCATCACCTCAAAAAGAAATCCCAGGGCCGGCCCGGTGGCGCACTGCTACAGTGTGCTGCTTGGGAGCGCGGTGGCGCTCCCGCGGAGGGGTCGGATCCCACATACAGACCGGTTCCCGCTCACTGGCTGAGCGAGGGGCGGGAGCAACTCCGAGGCTTGCGATCCCGTTGCCGGTCCCCGGTCCGGTACGGGGGCAACACTGAGGGTTGCGATCCGTTGCCGGACACGGAAAAAAAACAAAAAAAAAAAAAAAAAAAAAAAAGAAATCCCATACCCTTTAGCTATCACAACCCATATCACTCCCTCTTCCCCAGCACTAAGCAACCACTGATCTACTTTCTGTGTTTATCGATTTTCCTGCTTGCACATTTCATATAAATGGAATCATGTAACAGATGTTTTTTGTGTCTGGCTTCTTTCACTTAGCATAATGTTTACAAGGTTTGCCCCTGCCGTAGCATGTACCATATCAGTACTTTATTCCTTTTTAGGGCCAGAAAATACTCCGTTATATGCATATACCATATTTTGTTTATCCATTCATCAGTTCATTTGGGCGATTTCCCATTTCATTTGGGTTGTTTCCTTCTTTGGTCTATTGTAAATAACACTGCTAAAAACATTTCTGTACAAGTTTTTGTATGTATATATGTTTTCACCTCTCTGGGTATATACCTAGGAGTGGAATTACTGGGTCAAATGGTAACTTTAGGTTTACCTTTCTGAGGAACTGACAAACTATTTTTCAAAGTGGCTTCACCATTCTGCATTCCTCCCGGCACTGTATGAAGGCTCTAATTTCTCCACATCCTTGTCAACACTTATTATCTGATCTTTTGAGCACAGTCATCCTAGTGGATATAAAGTGGCATTTCATTGTGGGTTTGATTTTAATTTCACCGATGAATAAAGATGTCAGGTATCTTTCACGTATTTAGTGGCCATTTGTATATCTTCTTTGGAGAAATGCCTATTCATATTCTTTGCCCACTTTTTAATTGAGTTATTTGCCTTTTTTTTTTTTAAAAGATGACTGGTAAGGGGATCTCAACCCTTGGCTTGGTGTTGTCAGCACCACGCTCAGCTAGTGATCAAACCAGCCATCCCGATATAGGATCCGAACCCGTGGCCTTGGTGTTATCAGCACCGCACTCTACCGAGTGAGCCACGGGCCGGCCTGAGTTATTTGCCTTTTTATTAATGAGCTGTTCTTTATGTACTCTGAATTCTAGTTCATTATCAGACACGTGATTTACGAATATTTTCTACCATTCCTTGGGATGTCTTTTCATCATTGGGATGTCTTTATGGTGTCTCATGAAGTACACAAGTTTATATATATATATATATTTTTTAAAGATGACCGGTAAGGGGATCTTAACCCTTGGCTTGGTGTTGTCAGCACCACGCTCAGCCAGCAAGCTAACTGGCCATCCCTATATGGGATCCGAACCCGGGGCCTTGGCGTTATCAGCACCACACTCTCCCGAGTGAGCCACGGGCCGGCCCCACAAGTTTATATTTTGATGAAGTCGAATCTATGTATTTTAAAATTTTGTTGCTTGTGCTTTTGGTGTCATATGTACGAATTGATTACCGAATCTGAGGTTAAATTGACCTTGCCTTCCTGGGATAAATCCCACTGGGTCACAGTGTTTAATTTGTTTGTGTTACTGGATTCAGTTTGCTAGCATTTTTGTTGAGGAATTTTGCATTTGTATTTCTAAGAATATTGGCCTGTGGTTTTCTTTTCCTGTGATGTCTTTGTCTGGTGTTGGTATCTGTCTGGTTTTGGTATCAAGGTAATATGGCTCATAGAATGAGTTGGGAAGTGTTCCTAATATTCTATTTTTTGGGAGAGTTTGTGAAGAATTGGTATTAATTCTTCTTTAAATGTTTGGTAGAATTCACCAGTGAAGCCACCTGGTTCTGGGCTTTTCTTTGTGGGTTGTAGTGGATTGAATTAAGTCTCCCCAAAACTCAATGAAGCTTGAATTGTGTCCCCCAAGTTTCATGTATTAGAAAGTTGGCCCCCCCTGTGACTGTTTTTTTTTTTTTTTTTTTTAAAGATGACCGGTAAGGGGATCTCAACCCTTGGCTTGGTGTTGTCAGCACCACGCTCAGCCAGTGAGCCAACCGGCCATCCCTATATAGGATCCGAACCCGTGGCCTTGGTGTTATCAGCACCGCACTCTACCGAGTGAGCCACAGGCCGGCCCTCCAGTGTGACTGTTAAGAAGGTGGGAAATCCTATTATGGTAATTGAAAAGTAGAGCCTTGAAGAGGTGATTAGATTGTAGAACCATGCCATACTGAATGGATTAAAATGGTGGCCATGGGCATGGTTTGGAGGGCTTTAAAAGGAGAGTGAATGAGGTTGGTCTCTCTCTCTCTCTGCTTCCACCATCTTGCAATGTGAGGGGTCACAGCCACCACCACCAGATGTGTTCCTTGGACTGTGGATTTCCCAGCCTCAGAAACTGTAAGAGAATAAATTTCATTTTCTTATAAATTACCCACTTCAGGTATTTTATTATAAGCAACAGAAATGGACTAATACATGGGTAGTGTTTTCATTACTGATTTAATCCCTTTACCTATTATAGGCCTATTCAGATTGTTTATTTCTTCTTGAATCAGTTTTGGTAGCCTATGCCTTTCTATGAAATATCCATTTCATTTAAGTTACCTAATTGATTGGAATACAATTGTGCAAGTATTCCTTTTTAATCTTTTTTATTTCTAAAGCTTGGTAGTAATGTCCTCTCTTTCAGTTCTGATTCTAGTAATTTGAGTCTTTTCTCTTTTTTTTCTTGGTCAATCTAACTAAAGGTTTGTCAATTTTGTTGATCACTTCAAAGAATCAGGTTTTTAAAAATATTCACCTATTGCTTTTCTGTTTTCTATATTATTAATTTCTACTCTAATCTTTATTATTTTCTTCCTTCTGCTTGCTCTATTTTGTTTGTTCTTCTTTCTCCAGGGTCTTAA